ATGTCATGTCTTGGATAAAAACCATCATTAAGGAGGAATTAAAGAAGATTGGAATGAGGTAATAATATATACCTTTCACATATTAGAAATCACATCAAACTTTAAACATTAGTATCTATACATAATGAAGTTGTGATATTTTTCAACGGTTCAAGTTTCCGTTACCTATAACCGATGACACAATCAAGAAGATAAAACATGAGTGGACAACGTATCTATTGAAACGATGAAGTTAGGACCCTCTAGAGCATTAGTTATTTTTCTTGAAAATTGTCTAGGAGTACATTTTTGTAATGAAAGTTTAACTTTTCTCTAATTAGTTATAAGTTTTAGTCTTGATATATCATATGTGCTGATAAATTTTCTAAGTCATGTTGAATTTCTTTTTCTAAGTTTTTCAGACTTGGATAAATTGTAAATAAAAAAAGTATTTAAAAAGAATGTAGCATTTGACATCAGTTGGTGCTCTAACAGACGTCGTTAGTCTATTTTGGTATTCATCATTAAGAGACGCCTACTTTCAGATCATCGCGTCTTTCAATGTCTGTTTTCAACTCCAATATCATTTTAACGTCTCCAACTAAGTCATTAAAATCTTCTTATTAAAAGTAAAAAATAACATTCGTTTTAAAATCATTTTGTAATGATATATACCTACTATAATACGAAGAATATTCAATAATGAAAATATTTATATTATAGTTTAATATAAATTTGTTTTATGGTAAATAATTTTTTTAAGATAAATATTATTATTATTATTATTATTTAAATTATAATATTCCTACAAAATAAATTTAAAACATATTTTTAAATTTTATTTTATAAAATGATTAAGGAAGGGAATATCATAAAAGAAAAAAAAATAATATAGAGAAAAATAATTATTTTATTTAAATAATATTATATTATGAAATAAAAAATATATTAAATAATCAAGTTATTGGAAATTATATTAAATTTAAATAATATTATTTTATGAAATAAAAGTAAAATATACTAAAAAATCAAGTAATTAAAAATTATATTAAATTATCAACTACTTATGAAAAAAATTAATATTTTAAATATAAATTATAGGTAAAAACGTAAATTATACAGAAAAATGTGGTAAAAGAAAAATTAAAATATGAAATAACTAAAAACTAACTATTAAAACATATATAAAAATTAAATATAAATAATAAAGTAAATTTCATAGATTTTTTTTCCTTATATTATAATATAATAGATTTTGTAATCTTTTTCGAGTCATGTTTGTTTGCAGTCCATAATAAGAAATTTTGGACCAATTAATATATGTGAACTTTCTTTTAGATATTATGATATTATTTTTTAGACAGAATTCAGATATAGACAATCGAATTTTGAGCTTTTAGTGGTTGAACCATCAATCAAAATTTAATTCCTGGGAAACGAATTTCAAGCTAGGATTTATTTATTTTTTGTTTGCGTTTTGATTTTAAAAATAATGGATCAAGATTTAATGTAAAAGTTAAGTGTGTAGGATATAATTATTTATATAAGTGAAATATTGGATAAATAAAATTTTATAATTAGATATATTTTAAGGAGATTTAAATTACCAAAATATGTAAATAAAAAAAATTGTGAAAAAGAAAAGAAAGAACTTTAAGAAAGTAATGGAAAGTGGGTGATATAATTGAATTTATATGGTTTTAAAAAGTAAATTAATTTAAAAAAAATAAGTGTATTGTAATGTATTCATTTAGAGAAATAAAGAAATAATTATTTACGTGAAGACAGTTTTTAATAAAATTCAAATAAAAATATGTAAATAAGAAAAATTAATGAAGAGGAAAAAATTGAATGAAAAGAGTTTGATATAATTGAAATGTGTAAGGAGTTAGTAAATGTGCTCGCTGGGATAAAATTTCTAGTCCATATTCTTCTCCATAGTCCCCACTTTCTTGACTCCAAAATTCTATCTTTTTAATCAAATTAAATTGTAATATTTTTTAAGTCTTTTATGTTTTTGTCGTTCCAAAAACCTTCATGGTGATATTGTCTCTCTTTATCCATTAAGAATTAAGATCTCCATTTTTTTCTCTCTTAGAAGATATATAGGCTTCCATCTTCCATGTATATAAGTTTGGGAGCATCATTAATGTAGGAGGATGGATCACTCTAACATTAAACATCAGAATTGTTGGATGATATGTAAAACCTTTGTAAGAATAATGAATTTGAAGGATCTATAGATGAGAAGTATCATGTTAGAATTAAGGAATTACCAGCTGGTATAATTTGGAATACCATTACAAAGATATTGATTTAAAGTTGCTTTAAAAGATATTGATTTTACTCATTAAAAGTAAATCTTATCACTATATAAAAGAGTTATGTAGACATTAATTTAAAGGGTTGAAGAAATTAATTGCTTTGGGATGTGTCTGTCACTAGTTCCCTTGAGAAATTTTCATGTGCACCAAACTTGGGCAAAGTGAAGAAATGCTTTGGAAAGTAAAAGCATGCAAGATTCGTGGCATCTTGTCACCAATCACACTATTTTTTTATAACTTTGAATGCGTTATAAGTTCACCAGATCCATATGCTAATTCAAATTTCAAAAGTTTCTTCTGAGTCGTAGGTATTATACATACACAAATAATTATGCAAGACCAAGACATGATGTTATATTTTTCTTTCTAGACTTAGAGTTAATGTTAAACATCATTGTTCATGTAAGTATATCATTGCAGTGACCTTTTGTTACCCTTGTGGTAGTAAACACCAACTCTGCATTTTACATAGATATGAATGTAGTAGAACAACTAACATAATAGAAATCATTGACAACTTTCGAGATTCTACTGCTTCTGTGTGTGCATTATAAAATAATGAATTTAATAATATTGGGTTCCTTTGTTGTTGTAATAAATTTAAATTTTAGGGGTTTAATAATAATTTTGTTTAAATCTTATTTTATTAGTTTAAGTCTAATAATATTTAGTTTGATTTTAATAAATATAAAATTGGGATAAGTAGTTTTGATTTTTCATTAATTTAGGTGCAATATTATTTTATTTTGTTGATATAAGATAGAGATAGATTAAGTAGTATTTTTATTGAGTCAGTTATATTTTGTTTTTAGTTTTTATTATTTGTACTTGTCACAAGATCTTATTTACACCTATTTAAAGGGTGTCAAGGCTCAATGAAAATAACCACAATGGATTGAAGAGTACTATATATGGGTCACGTTTTTTTAACAAAGTGGTATCATAGCTTTAAAAAAGGTAGAGAGAGAGGGGAGAATAACGGAATGAGTGTGCCACAACTGACGAGAAAAACCAATCATGACAATTAGTGCCTACAAATGAAGGCGTTGTTGAGATCCCAGAACATTTGGGACATGGTGTAAGACGAGTACAATGAACCCAATGAGGACGAAAATTAGATGGTGGCACAAATGACTACGTTGAAGAAATCATGTGCAAGAGATGGATCAACATTGTATTTTCTCTACAATGTCGTATATGAGTCGGGATTCGAAAAAATAGTGAATGTCGCATCAACAAAGGAAGCTTGAGAGATATTGGAGGATGCGTATAAAGTTGAAAATCGCGTTAGAAAAGTTCGAATACAAGCTCTCAGAGGGGGAGTTTGAACAGTTGAAGATAGCTCAAAGAGCAGTTAACCGAGTACATAACTCGAGTGGAGAAGGTGACCAACTAATTCGACAGGAATGGAGAACAAATGCCACCTAGTCGGGTTGTGGGAAAAATCTTGAGATCCCTAAAAAAAGATTCCAAAAGTATCGTGTGCGCCATCGAAGAATCGAAGGACTTGTCAGTTTTTACAATGGATGAACTTGTTGGGTCAGTAGAAGCCCACAAACAAAGGAGAAGCAGTTGGGATGAACAAGTTGAACCTCTTGATCAAGCACTACAAACAAATTTTGACTCGAATGAAACTCATATTACTCAGAGCTGAGGTCCTAGAGATAGAGGACGAGGAGGTCGATGACGAGGTGGACGTGTCGAAGGTAATTTTGAGGATGATAGTGAAGAGCAAACCGATCAGCAAAATTGACATGACCGAGGACAAGAAAAAGGTTGAGAAGATCGATCAAGAGTGGACTATTTTAAGTGTGGTAAGCACGAAATGATTGTAGATTGAGGAAGTGCTACAACTGTGGTAAGGTTTGCCACATTGCAAAGTATTGCAAGGTTGAGACAAAGGGGGAGACAAATCTCCTTACTGAAGATGCAGAATAAGAATGTGGAATTTTGTTGATGGCAAAGAGCTCGGATGTAGTGGACATAGAAAGCTCGGTAAGTGATCTCGGTAAATGGTGTGACAAATATGGAGAAGAAACTCAAACAAAAAGATGAAGAGATTCAGCGAATAATTAGACTTCTGGATGAACCTAATGAAATTATGAATAAATAGAGGGCGGAGCTTGAGGAGCTAAAGACGGCTTGACAAGGAGGAGGAACCATCTAGTTTTCTTGAACTAGATGAAAATGGGAAAGAAGAAGATGAAGATGTTGAGAATAACCAAGGTATGGGAAGCTCAGATATTAAGATAACAAAAAATATGATGAATAAAATTTCGGACGAGATGAAAAAGTCGGCCAATGTTGTTGAGAGGTCGGCCAAGATTGTTGAGAAATCGCCTAAAGTCATAAACGAGTTGGTCGAGGTAAATGAAAAGTTGGGTAGAATAAAGAACCAATTGTCCAATGCATTAAAGAGTTCAGTTAAGGTTAAAGACAACACGACCAACATGGAGAAAAATAAAAATCCAAATCACTACAAGAAAATAGTTATTTATCTACATATTATTATATACGGATTTAAATCTGTATATAAAAATCTTATTATATACAGATATTATATACGGATATTAAAAATTGAGTTAGATAAAAAAAAATCCGTATGTAATAGAAAACATCTTTGCCTCTTATTTTCCGTATATAAGATTTGTATCTAATGATTAAAAATTAAAATTAATTTTTTCTTTAACCTAACACTCTCGAAATCACACGCATTTTCCCCTCTTTCTGGAAATCGCTCGCGTTCTCTTCCTCACAGAACCTCTCACTTGCAGTCTCCCACCGTCAAAATCGCGTTTCTCCCTCTTCCTCCCACAACAACTCACAGAACCCTTCCACTTCCATTTTCCCCTCTCTTGAAATCACTCGCATTTTTTTTCCTCTTCCTCACACAACCTCTCATTTGCACTCTCCCACTGTCAAAATCGCGTTTCTCCCTCTTCCTCCCACAACTCAGAACCCTTCCACTTCAACTCTCACACCGGCATTTCGTTAGTGTGGCTATCACTCACTGCCGTCGTCGTTCACTATCGGCGGTGACTCTTCAGTAAGTTCCTAATCTTCTTCCTTCAAGCCCTAACCTTCTTATCCTAAATTTATCTAATCTAGTGTTTTCTTTCGCAAGGTGCAAATCTTTCTTCCCACTTCCACCCCCAAAATCTAGGGTTTCATCTATCTAACCCTTTTTTCTTTCTTTGGTTTTGCGCTCCAATAATATTTGGTTTCCAATTTGCTCACTTGCTTTTGGTTTTTTCGTGGTCATGTCTTTAATGTGTTTTGATGGTTGTAATTGATTCAAATTTCTGGCTTTTTAGGTTTTCCAGGGTTTAGGAATGGCTATGGGAATGGTTAAATGGAAAGCACATCTATAGTCAACATGGTATAGTTCTTCAATCTTGACTTTCAAAAACTTTTGTCGTTTGTGTTGGAAAAAAACTTGCATACGTTCTTTTCGAGCGAACATTTGGATTTTTTCTTTGTTTTTTCATAAGATTATTTCACTTGTTAAATATTTAACACTAATATGTATTGCTTTCATCTTTAGATCTTTTGAACAAAATTGACTTCTGGGTTCATCTTAGTCTTCTGATATATGTAATCAGAGAAACTAGGTTTGGCTAGATGCTGTTGTTTTGGTAAATCATTGGCACAGTTAATGGAAGTGGCTAATGAAATCAAAGGTTGGGGCATACCACAAGCCTTGGTGGAATTTGTGGTTTACAAATTGCTTATCAAGGAGTATACATATTCTAGACTTTCTGCATCAAGCCTTTGTCATTTAATCAGTCAGACATGCTTAGCCCAGTCTTTGAAATGAATTACACCACCATTTCTTGTTATTCATTGTGTTGTGTGAATATTATAAGGACCATTATTGTGATCATAAAAAAGCTAGAACATTGTGTTTGAACAACCTCAATAGTTGTTTGTACAATTTACTTTGTTTCTTATCAATTGTTCTTTCCTTGAATTTTATTTTAACAATCTTCTTATGATTATTTGGGTAGGTGATAGCAATGAAATGTTGAGGTCCTTAACTATTTTATTGTTAACAATTTTTTCTGCAGAACCTGTGCCTAAAAAGGTTCTTGACTTGATGAATGTTGAAAAGCTTACATGGGGGAATGTGGCCCACCACCTTCAGGCATTGATGATATTGTTCTATTCATAGAGCATACGATAAGGCTGCTATCGTGGAGTAAATGCTGATATAAACTTTAGTTTGGGAGATTATGAGGAGGATTTGAAGCAGGTATTGAACATGGTAGGCTATCAATTTTATTTGATTTTTCTGTCAGTTTAATTCATGATTTGATTGAGTTGCAGATGAGAATTTTGACAAAGGAAGAGTTTGTGCTTGTTCTTCATCGACAAATCAGTGAAATATTGAGGAGAAACGCAACTCAGATAAGTGCTTTAGCTCTTCACAAAGGTGGTCAAGGAGAACAAAGTATAAGACCATTTATTAGCAAGACGTGAGAACTTCTATTTCAAGCATTATACCTTATTCAAATTTAAACTTTAACTTTAGTTCATTATATTCTTAGTTTCTCATCTTAGTTAATCTGGTTTTATATATGAAATCTGTGCAAGTTATCAAACACTATTATCTAAAAGTTTTTATATAAAAATCAAGTAGATCTACAATTACTTATTTTTTATCCTACCATGATAAGGTTTCATGAATTTGTGTGCCAACTGACAAGGTTATCCAAACATAAAGGTCTGCAATAGTCATTTATTAGGATACTGAATGTATTGTCCTTATATGAATGAAATTGTGTGGAGTAATAAGGAGTTTAATCCAAAAGGGTTCTTCATTTTGTATTTTCTGTGTCGATTTTATACTAAGTCTTCTGTCAAGTATGATGAAGAAAAAGTGGAGAGCAATTTTGGAGAACATTGATTCATGAAAGTTGACTTTAAATTTAAGCATGCACTTGCCATAATCTTGATTTGAGTATGGGGATTTCTCCTGGGGATTTGAGTCTCGGGATTTACCTAAATCAATATGTTGTTTAGTTTATGTTGTGCCATGCTATATTGATTTCTTATGTTACAATTATGCCATCTTTTGGTTAGTTAGTATTATGAATCTAAAATAATTTTGCTGTGCTAGACAAAGATAAAGTTCTAGCTTCTGCTAAGAACCCATCATCATAAATAACCCTTAAAGAGATAAATACACGCCGTCTTCAATGCTTCAGTCATTCACTAATTTCAAGAAAAGTCAATAAACTTATTTTCAATTTAACTTCTTTTCTATCTTCTTTTTTATCCTTATCACTATTTCTAGTATTTTGACAAAAAAAGTTTGTTCTTTAGGTTTTAAATTTGAAGATAATATACCTTTTTAATTATATATTTTATTTAATTAATGTGGAGAGAAAAAGATTAATGTTATTGGGTGCTTTTTTTGCAGGTGGAAATGCTGAGAAGGACCATGCTTGTTAGGAGAGATTTAAGGACATGGACTTCCGAAGAAGTGTTTTTAAAGTAGACAGAAACAACCCAGTTTAGATGTGGCTACAAAAACTGCTACGACACTTGCAATTGTGCCTTCATAGTAATAGGTTCTATATTCTGGTTTTACAAGAAGACGTTGCCCCTCCTATTGTCAATCATAGTTATTCACTCATTTTATTGAAAGTTGAAACTAATGACAATAACCTTATATAATATTATATTGTATTTATAAGTTTCTTTGTTTGTTTTAAGGCTCGTAGTTCTATTGTCAATCATAATTATTCACTCATTTTATTGAAAGTTGAAACTAATGACAATATACTTATATAATATTATATTGTATTTATAAGTTTTTTGTTTTAAGGCTCCCTGATCTTTACAAATAAAGGAATTATTTTTTTTTCTCTATCCATATGTTACATACAGATTTATCCGTATGTAATTACATATGTAATTATATATGTACTTATATACGGATATTATATACGGATTTATCCGTATATAATTTATATACGGATAAATCCGTATATAACTTAGCTACGAGTATATTATATACGGATTTTTTTCCGTATGTATTTCGTATGTAATTAATCATTATATACGGATTTTGAATGTTACATACGGATTTTAGCAGTATGTAATTCCAATTTTTCTTGTAGTGAATATGGTTAAAGGAAGCAAGCTTGATGTGGGATGATGCACATGAAAATTCGATTAAAGGATTAAGATTTTAAGTTTATGGGGAAGTTTTGTTGGGATAAACTTAAATTTTAGGGGTTTATGAATAATTTTGTTTAAATCTTATTTTCTTAGTATGCATTTAATAATATTTAGTTTGATTTTGATAGATATAAAATTGGGATAAAGAGTTTTTAGTTTCCATTAATTTAGGTACGGTATATTTTGATTATATAAGATAGAGATAGATTAAGTAATTGTTTTTATTTTGAGTCAATTATATTTTGTTTTTAGTTTTTATTATTTGTATTTGGCCCAAAGTTTTATTTACATCTATTTAAAGGGTGCCAATGTTAAATGAAAATAAACACAATGAATTGAAGAGTATCATAATAGTTTGGGTCACATTTTTTTAACATCCTTTTCCTTGATTGCAGGTAGATGTAAAGAATAAACCAATAGTTTCGCTAAGATTAAAATTAGAAGGGAGAAGAAGCAATTGGTTGGTCGTTCACATGCAAATTTATCTTCTCTTCCCAAGTTCAAAAAAATATGTGAGTTTGTAGGTTGGCTCGCCCCGACCATCTTCGGCTTGTTTGTGTGGGTTACATGTTATACGGGATGGGCCAAAACATGCCAATGGGCTCAAAAGTTCAGTCTGTGCCACACTTTTTCTTGTGGTCCTTCATTGCCACCCCCTACTACCTCTACACCTGCTTGTTTTGATTAGGGCTGGACAAAAATAACTGATTTGTACTGCACTATAATTAATTGTACTATATTATACTTAAAAAAAACTGATCCATTTTTACTAAAAGTTCAGTATACTATTTTATGATTTAGTTTTTAAAAAACTGAACTTATAACAGTTTCAGTTCAGTTAACTTTGAGAATTGTATATACTCTTTCTTCTTCTTTAGTTTCCGTTCAACTGTTTCGTCTTGCCAAGAAAACGTTATTTAATAATAAAATATTAATAAAAGAAACCGTTTACATAAAAAATTAATAATGAATTTTTTAAGACAAATTTTTTATCACAAATTTTTATATTTTTTTTATCAATAAACATATATTACTTTTTAAATAATATTATTTTAAGTAATAAAAGTAAAATATATTTTTTTAAATTTAAATTTATTAAATGATTAAGTAATAGAAATCATAAAAGAAAAAAAGACTGTGTAAAAAAATAATACTTTAAATATATTATATTCTTTAACATATTATTAAATATGTAAAAATATGTTAAAAAAACTTTTAATAATATTAAAATGTGTGTAAAAGCACACACTAAAATAACTATTTATTTTAAAAATCAACTTACTTTAAAATAAATATCAATATTATTATTTTTAAATGATATTATTTTACAGACTAAAACTAAAATATATTTTTTAACGTTAAATTTATTAAATGACTATATAATGAAATATCATAAAAAAATAGTAATATAGCAAAAATAATTAATATTAGAGAAATATCAAATGACAAAAAAATTAACATAAGAGTAACTTTTCTAGTATCATCTTTTATTATATTATAATAATTAATAAATATTAGTTTAATTTTTACATAATAAAATATAAATAATAAATAATTGATTAATAAAACAATTTTATGAGGCAACAAAATAAATATAAATAAAAAATTATTTTAAAATAAAATAAGTAGATAAAATAAATTATACACACATATAAAACAAAAAAAATATAAATAAAAAATTAAAAAAATAAATATAAAAGTAAAATAATATTCATGACAAAATAAATATAAATAAAAAATAAAAAATAAAATAAAATAAAATAAAGAAAAAATAAAATAATTTCCATACACATATAATAATAAAAGAAATATAAATAAAATAGAAAATAATAATATCAAATAATTAAAAAGTTAATTTGTAAGACACTTATGAATAAAATAAAATAAAAATTAAAATAAATTTCAATTAAAAAGAACATGTATTGTTATATTATTCAGTTTAAAAACTAGTATAATTCAGTTTAAAAATAGTACAATTAAGTTTAAAATTAATAAAGGTAGTAGTTGAGTTCAGTTTATATTGTAGTTTAGTACAATTTAGTATAATTCAGTTCCGTCCAGTTTGATAAAACAAAAAACAGTTCAGTTTGTCTGAACCGTTTTACAGTTGAGTTTAGACAAATTAGTTTTTAATTCATTACATATTTTAGTAGTACAGTGCAGTTGAGTTCTATTTGCCCATCCCTAGTCCTTCATGAGCACTTCCTAGTCTCTTTACAATTGATTATATACGGAGACTTTCTTTTGATACCAAGAATGAGACCTTGAGTCCAAGTCATTGCATTTCCATTACCCTCTCATTTGGTCTTATGCATTCTTCCACTACTCCTCCATGTTAATTATGTCGTAACCTTACATTTTTTTTTCTTCTTCATTCTCTATTTTGATAGTTTTTCTAAGGTTTGCTTGTTAACATATCTTTCTAATGCTCCTCTATATGTTTTTTTAGTATATAGATTTTTACTTTTCTTTCCATAAATTAATTTGCAACATGCAATCTGAAACTATTAGTGTGAATTGTAATGTTGATGATATTATAAATAATGAAAAAAGTAATGAATCATCTTCAATTAATAATGAAGATAATGATGTTTAAAAAGAGAGAAGAAAGTTAAGACTTGTATATCAGAAGTTTGGAAATATTTTTATAAGATTGGTGTGAAAGATGTCAAAGAGAAGGCCAAATGTGTGGTCAAGATATAATTGGTAGATCTAAAGTAAGTACTTCAAAATTCTTGTGTCATTTGAAAAAAAAAGTGTCATGTTAGCCTAAAGTACAAAGACGTAAGAAGAATGATAATTAACAATACCGAAAATTTATGGAGTAGGAAACTTGATCATAAATATGTTTGTGAGATTATGACAAAGAACTATCATCAAACATGGTTTGCCATTTTATTTTTTTAATATAAATGGATTAGGGAATTTTTTTTACATATTTGTATCAAGATGTAAAACATGTGATTAGAAATATAGTTATGTTTAATTTGTGGCAATTTCATCTTGAAATAATGGAGAAAATCAAAACTCATATTGCATTAATGTCATAACTGAATTTTTTTTACTTTGTTGGAATGTTTGTACTCAAGAGGAATATATTTGTTTAAGAACATACTTTGTTGATAATAATCAGAAATTGAATAGTAAGATTTTTTTTTTATAATGAACCTCCGTGTTATGGTTTAGCAAATAAAGTGTTTGAATGTTTAGATGAGTGAGAAATTGACAAGAAAAGATTTTCTATAATTTTTTACAGTGTTAGTACTAATAATCATATGCAACAAATTTTATGTGATCAATTAAGGTTACAAAATAGCTTATTTGGTGATGGTGAATTTTTGTCATTGAGGTGTTGTGCTCATATCTTAAATCTTATAGATCAAGAGGCTTTGAAAGTGGTTGAAGTTGCTTTAAGAAAAATTAGAAAAAGCATTAAATGTGTAAAAGGATTTCAGGCAAGAAAAATAGCATTAACTAGATGTGTTGTTCAAGTGAAAGGTATTAATACTAAGGTGGACTTAAGGTTAGATTTACCAACTAGACCAAATTTTATTTTTCTTATGCTTGAAAGTGATCTTAAGCATTGTTGCACTTTTGGAAGTTTCACTATATGTGGAAGAAATTTAAACATTATCTAGTGAAAAAGATCTTGAGGAAATATGAAATTTTAAGGTCATTTTATAAAATAACCAATTTGATTTTAGAAACATCTTATTCAACCTCTAATTATTACTTCATGTAAGTATGGAAAATTAAATGGTTGTTAAGGGATACACTCAAAAGTGATGACCCATTAATAAAAGACATGACAAAACGGATTATGGAAAAGTTTAACAAAAGTATTGGAGTAAATATAATACTACTCTTTTAATTGCTATGATTCTTTATCCTCGGATAATCCTTGAAAGCACTTTGATTTTACTACATAAAGCTTGATTCATCCACTTGTGATGAAAAATTTAATCATATAAAGACAACATGTAAAAACTCTTTGAAAGATATATGAATGTAAGGTCAAACTCCTCTTAAGCATCAAGATCTCAACTTTCTTGTTTAGGAGAAAAATATTTCAACATAGAAAAGAACTAAGAGATTGATTCATAGTCATCATTCCTATTTATTGTTATTATTTACTATTATATAATTGTTATTAATCACTTTTTATGTTTGCTATAGGAATGTATCAATTATGCGAGTCAAAATGTTAATGTAATTAACAAGTTTGAGTTAGATTTGTATTTAATTGAAACATCACTTGAACCAAAATATTTTTTCCAAATTAGATGTTTTTAGCTATTGGAAGGATTACCAACTTAATCTTTGTAGATTTGACATTTCAACATTCCAATATCTAAGTGTTGCTATTTAGCTGTTGGTCATATTAATTTTTTCCTAACAATGTTCAAGTACTAATTTTAACTCAAATTGATTAATAGCTTAAAAATATTGTTAATTTCACTTATATTACATTCTAATATTTTCTTGATATCATACTTTTAAATTATGTTATTTGCTAATAATTTGTTTTTGTTTTTAAATATGAAGATAATGAAGATGTTTAAAAGAAAATATTGTAGATTTTTCAATCCATGACTCTACTATTATTCATGGACAACAGTTCTAGTTAAGGATATGTTGGCTTTTTTAAAATTGATTTTTTGGAAACTAACGCATTGTTCGTTTGAACAGATTTTACTGTTCAGAAACGAATGCGAGTGACGATTTGAGAATCCAGTCGTGTTCGGATGAGAGAAAACACGAGGAAATGCGAGTGATGATTTGCGGGATACCATGTTTTTTCATCACCCACAACTTTGAAGACAAGAGATTTTCAGTGTATTGGTAAGATCGTTTTTTTATATCTAATTGTTTAATGTACTGTATATGATTTATATCTGTTCATCAAAGACCAGAGAAATCAACATTCATTATTTCTTATTACTTGTGATGTTTGCTCATTTATATGTTCAGGATCTGTAAGGATGCCAGCATCTCTTTGCGGTGTTGTTGGTCTAAAACCAACTTTTGCACGTATACCACATGATGGGTAGGTATTCATATTTGTTTTATCATCATTAAATACTTTAAGGATTATAATGTAATAACTTAGGAGAATGATCTTCTGCTATATTCAGAGTTCTTCCCCTAAATTGGACAGTTGGAATGGTTGGAATACTAGCAGGCACAGTTGAGGATGCATTGATTGTGTTAGTACTCCTTTCTATGATATTCTTTCTACAAGGAAATTTTAAGATTGATTTTTCAACATCTACTGTTTCATTGTTTATAGTTATGCAGCTATCAGTGGTGAAATTCCATATCAGAAGATTTTCAGTGTATTGGTAAGATCGTTTTTCAAATTAATGATTTTTTACCATCGATTACTCTGTCCATGTTTATAATATCACATGATTCTGATTAGATATGCACTTTCAAGTTCTAAATTTCTAATATCTTTGAATTTCTTATTATTTAATCTTCATACCAGATTAGCAAAATACGGAAAGGTTAGATAGAGTCCTTTTGGCAGCTACAAATATCTGCATTATGATTATAAAAATTTTAGAAATAGGTTAACATCATGTTGTTTAACCACTACTTCCATCAATTAGTGGTTTGATGATTGCAGCAATGAAGTCAGAATATGATGCTCCAAAACTTTGCTCAAGCTTCAGGATCATTACAATTGGAAGGTACTGAAAAATATAAAAATGCTAACGGTGACCACTGATATATTAGCATGGTTTCTGCTTTCCCCACATAAACAAAATCGTATCTTATTTGATGTGAATTTGGAAGAAGCCATCTTTTTAAGGCAGAAATTTCTTAAAGCACTTATAATACTGTTACTGAACCCATAATTGAGAAACAACACATGCTAACTTTCTGTCTCAAACATGCAAGATCATAGATACCAGAGATAGAAGCAATGCGCCTGGCTCACTATATAACAATCGAATCTGAGTCTTCCACTGCACTTAATTCATTTAAACAAAAGTATGCAATCTTATAATCTTTTTACCTTCCTCCATTATTCTCTAGCTTGAAAAGTATTGTTGCTGATATCAGCAAATTACTACCAAAGGAATTTTGCAGAATTAGGATGGGATGTAAGAGTAGCACAAAGCATCTATGGTGCTTTCAGCGGCATGGAATATCTTAAAGCTCAACAAATGAGGTAAGATATGAAAAATTAAGCCAATAAATTATGCTAATTAATAAAATTACTATTTTTTGAACACACTCTTCACTCTTAACAAAAAATTAAAATTTATTAGAACATCCTGTTTGCAAATTACTTCTGCATTATAATTTTTTTCCTAAATTCATTTTACTTCTAAAAATTATAATTTTTTTAATAAATTCATTTTACTAAATTATAATTTTTTTACTTTTAAAAAATTAATTTTAATTATTATTTTTAATTTTTTACTCTTTATAAACATTTTTTCAATTAAATATAACATTAACAAATAACATTTTATATTACTAGGGACATTTTGGTAATCATTAATTTCTACCAATTAAACAAATTTTTTAAATATGTCCCATCAATCAAATTCTATACTAATTCTCACAAACTTTACCTCCAAATCTACTCTCAATTACCCACAAATCCACTCAAAAAAATAACAAGGCTTAATACCTTATTTTGTCCTCAATTTCGCTCAAAAATGTCAAATTAGTCCCTCCTTTAAAAGATGCGTCAATTACGTCCTCATTTAATAAAATTTGCATCAATGAAATCCCTTCCGTTAAATCCGTACAAACGGCGTTAATTAAATCCGTAGAAGAGAGAGAAAAATAATTAAGGTCGTTTGTACAGATTTAACGGAAAGGATTTCATTAACATGTAAATTTTATTAAGTGAGGACATAATTGACACATTTTTTAAAGGATGTACTAATTTGACATTTTCGAGCAAAACTGGAGACAAAATAGGGTATTAAGCCTAACAAAAATATTACCCTGAAATCCACTCAAATTCATTCAAATCATCCTCCCAACTTACCTCAAAGAACAAAGCCTAAGAGATGTGCTGAATTGTAGTCACCTATTATGAATTTGAAGTCAAAAATAGGTTCAGCCCGGAGAGACCAGTAAAATTACTATTAGACACTTTTTATTTTTTTACTTTTCCCCTTTTTTCCACCACAACCTCACCTGCATAATCTAATCTTTAAAGTGAAAAGTCTCATTTATTTCTAGTAATTGATCATCATCAGTTAAATTTTCCACATAGAAGCTTACATGAAATACATAAGCCGTTCAAATTTAGGCACTGATGATATGGCTTCTATGGCTGTGCCAAGAGGCCATGCTGTTTCCACAAGAGCATCTTCATATTCAATTTTATCAGCCAGTGTAAACTCTTGCTCAGGATCTAGGCCTGGAAACAAACAAACACGTAATATTAATAACAAAATGAAAATAATAACCAACTTGTATGAACCTGAACTTGATCATACAGTGGAAAACCTACCAAATCCATCAACCAGCAACGCATACATGTACGTAATGTCTATGCACACAAACGGAACTCTTTCTTCAGAAAGAAGTGGATAACTGGATTTGGCATCTTCAAATGTTTTTCCACAAGCTCCCTTAACCAAGTTTTCAAGATCCACAGGACGAACAATGGCATTGGGAGATTTTGGATCAACGATACCAACCTATAAAACGAACAACGAAATTACTATCACTGTAGCCTGAGAAAGAAATCCAAATCAGAAACTCATGCTAAAATAATGCTCATACGTCTCTGGACAGATAATAGAACGATGAAGTAGCATAAATATTTCTTTGTCCACTTCCTCTTCCACCGTCCCATACCCCACCAAATGAGCAATTGTGATGAGAACATGGCGCCTTCAGCTTGAGAGCCTCAAGGACTATCTCTCTGCATGCATCATAACTGGGCCCTGACTTTGGAGGGTACACTGCATACTCCACTTCTGAATATGTATAGCTTCCTATAAACAATAACAAACTCACCTGTTATTTCCATCTCTCAACGTATCATCAAGAAGTGAATGCCACAAAGCAATGACTTTGTTTACCTTCGTATCCAGCCAAAATGCAAGGGTTAGCAGAGCCATCAGTGACCTTCAAAACCTCTGCACGAAATGCTTCTGTACCATAGCACAAGTAACTGAAACACAAATTATGGTGTTTAACTAAATATTCATATTAAGAAAATCTCACGATACACAGATATTTTTCTAAAATTGAGTCTGCTGTGTTATAATTAAAAGACTTTAAATAGTTGTGTCTCTTACAATATTATAAAAATATAAATAAAACCTGAAAATAAAATATCAACTATTTTAAAAAAAAATCTATTTATTCTATCATAAAATAATATTATACTTAGATAAACAGAAAATCATATTATCTATTCCTATTTTATCTCTATCAAAATCAAACTAAATATTACTATATCTAAAAATTAATAAATAAAATTGAAATAAAATTATTAATAAAATCCTAAAATTTAATTTTATCGTAACAATTTATTCTGAAATGAAGTGAATCCAAACTTGTCTCGTGTGTGGGGGGAGAATAAGAAACGAAACCTGTGAACATAGAGGTCGTAATTTTTGCCCTTCGCATATAGCTTCTTTATGTAAGGATCCTCTCCTTGAGGTAGTAATGGGGCATTTTTGGCTGCGTTCCTTGAGACAGCATATGCCATTTGAACTGATCCTCCTCCAAGATCAACCACTCCCACAGTCTTTGAAAACCTTTTTCCCAGCCTCCGCAGTAGATAATTCACAGCCAACTACCACTCATAAAAGTTGCAACGTAAGTCACAAAATTATAATACTGGTATCAAAATTATTTCCCAAAAATTGCGTCCAGACATCACACTGACAAATTATTCATCCATCCATATGATAAAAAACATTATACTATAAATCTAAAATAATGTGATGAGTTTAATTTACAACAAAATAATTTAATTTTTTTTTAATATTTTACTTAATTTTAAATGATGTTTTGATATTTATAAATAAATTATATATATATATATATATATATATATATATATATATTAAATAATAGTCTATTATAATAATAATTAATAAAATCACACATAATTTTTTGAAAATTCAATATATTTATTTTGTTTATTTCAAAGTGAAATAAAGATTTTTTCGAAAATAATTAACTCAATATCAATTCATAATCCCAATAATTCTTTCAAATTAATCCGTCATCCAAATAATTCATATACAGTACATTAAACAATTAGATATAAATTTTAAAATACTAAATTGCACATAAAATATAAATTTATATTTTAACCTTTGTTCTCCTTTTACTTAGAGAAAGCTTCTTTAGCTATATGTTAAACGGATTGCACTTATTCTAATATATTCTTTTTGCTTAAAAGAAAAAAAAGTGAAATAAAAGGGCTAAAGTTATGAATAGTAAAGAAATCTCTTATCCATACCCACAGATAAGAACCTTCTCGGGTTCCTTCAATTATAGCTACTGCATCATCTGATTGAAGGTTCAGAGTACTTCTGTTCTTGAACAAATTCCTAACCTGAAAGATAGCAAAACGAAAACACAAGAAGTTGAAAAGTCATGGTTAGCAAAATGAGAAAACGCTTGCAAAATGGTTAGCAAGAAGTTGAAGGCTCTGGTAATTAGTTACCGCTTGCAATATGTTTTCAGCAGCATTCCCTTCCAAAAGTCTCAAACCTGCGGTTGCCTGCATCATTAACAAAATGAAAAGACATTATGTGGAAAACGTTGTTCAGATTTTCGACCAAACGTTGTATTCATGTTATAGAGAAGAGAAAGACCCACGCCAAGCATAAGGGGTGTCTTGGGGTGCAGGTCCTCAGGGACAACATTTTCAGCTGCCTCTAAAAGTGGAATCAAAGATTGGGCAGCTTTTTCAGGATGATCCGCATATGAACTCAAACCGGGTGTGACCTACAGCACAAGAACGAAAGTAAGGTTTTACAAAACCAAAGAGATAGATGAGAACAATTATGAAGCAAAAATTAGCAGGCCAAATGACGTACCCTTGCGAGAAATTCAAGATTATTGCCAATGCGAAGGAGATCTAAGTTCTGGTCGAAATGGAAAACGTGCACTCGAGTTCCAGTGCTACCAGCATCAAAAATCACAGCATAAGAGGAAAGGTTTTCTTCTTCTTTGAGGAATACTTTCCGATTAGATAGAAGGTTGTTCCCAAGATATTCGGAGGAAGAGAATGTAGGCAGTAACAAAAGGAAGAAACTAAAGAAAAATTGAAACCCCATTCTCAAATGACTCTCACCTACCAATACAAAATTAACATGTGCCTCCTATCTAAAGAGGGAGATGATATGTACTTTATCAGATATCAAAAATTAAATTTAATATATAATACTTCAATAAATTTTCTTTTTGTTTAATAATATTACAAGAAAGTTGTAAATTATTTATCAATTATTGCCCGTTTGTCGAATGTGGATATTAGTCACGGATAAAAGATGTTCAAATAAGATCTCAAAACTTGAATGAAGTCATTAAATGAAAAATCTAATTATTGATTGAGTCTTTGCATAATCAATGTGAATGTATCGTTGATTATTTTGTCTCCTCATATAGTAAAGGTTCTTACAGTACTTTATTGATTTTGGTGGTGAGGAAGTAATTATGTCGCTGATATTGGTAACAATAATAATTAAAGCTTGAAATGTTTATGCACCGTGTACATTATCATATTCTTCAAAACCCATGCATGCTCCCTCCCTCTTCATCATTCTCCTCTTCTTATGGTTATCTAAACTGAAAATTGTAGTCCTCATATAATTAATATTACATGAATATGAATGGATATAATCCTTTAATAATAAAAAATATGTGAATAAATATTATTTATTGAAGATAAAAATATATTAATAAAGTATTTGTTAATAAAATTTATCGAGAGATACAGGTAAGTATCGATACTATGACTAATATTTGTTGATAAAATGAATATTTGAATTTTCTTTTTTCTATTCTTTCTACATCTTTTTTTTCCTTGTCATCGTTCTATCATCGGGTCATGTGAAAACATTGAAGGAATGCAATGTGAAAACATCATCTAATGACTCATTTACATTTTGTGAAGCTTGTCAATTTAGAAAATTACATGTGTTGCCGTTAAAAAAACTCTTCCTCACATGATAAGGAAATGATAAGGAAATTTTATATTTGATTCATACTAATATTTGGGGTCTTGCCCCAATTTTTTCCTCCATCTCAATTCAAATATTATGTTTATTTTATTGATGATTTTCATAGGTTCACATGATTCCATTAAAACAAAAATTAGAAACTATACATGCCTTCAATCATTTCAAAGCTATGGTTGAAAACTAGTTTAACACCAAAATTAAAGTCGTTCAGTATGAGGGAGGTGGTGAATATAAACCTTTCCAAATGATTACTTAAAAATCTCGAATTATTTTTGTTAAAAAAGGAGTGCTTAGTTTCTCACACCAAAAGGGTTGAGCTCGGGATTGGGCCATGATTAAGGCCCTGCTAATCCTAGACCCATGACCAAAACTATAAATACAAGTCAAAGGTAAGAGATAGGCAGATTCATTAATTACACATTTATTGTGGTACTAAAACAACGATCGGACCTTTTACTGACTTAAGCATTGGAGCACCTTTAACAGGTACCCTCCCAGACGCATGGGACGAACGGACAGAGACTAGCGATCGTGAAGAGACCGGACGGACATGACTAAGAGCCCACGGATTTAGGTGACTCAACCCCATACAGGAACATTTTTAATTATATTTTTATTAATATGTTTCTGTCTTTTGAATTTTCAAATTTATTTTTTATAGTTTTTAGTTTATATAAAAAAGAGAAAGTAGATAAAAGAGAGAGTTGATTTAAAGTTGAATTAAGTTTTAAATTTTTTACAAATTTAGATATTTTAGTTGAATTTTTATTAATTTTTCTATTTGTTTTTAGTTTTTTTAATATTTTTTAATTAAATATTTATTGGACTTTCAATTTTTTTATATTTTTTAATTCAGTTTTTACTGTTTTATTTATGTTAACTGAGTAAGGTAATTTTTAATTTTAATAAAATAATATTGCAAACAAAAAGTGACTTTTCTTGCCTTAGTATTTTTTATATTAATTATAATACTTCACGTTTTTAATATTTGGAGAAAAGAAATGAGATAACAGTTGAAAAATGATAACTTTTTTACACATTAATTTTTTATATTTATTTGGCACTATTTTTTTTTCTTTTTATTGTATTTTAAATTATAAAAAAATTACTTTTTTTAAATTATTTTATCTTGTTAAGACCGTCAAATGAATGTAAATGTTTTCACTCATATAAGATTAGATTCATGTAATCCAATTAAAAAAATTTCAACAAATAAAAAAATATTAATAGACTGTCAATTAAAATTATATAAATATTTATGAGAGTTGAAGTTTAATTAAGTTAAATTTTAATTATATTTAGGATTTGAGTACTTATTTGTTAGAAGGATTTATAATTGTAGTTTTATTTTTGTAAAAGTTATACTACAACGTGATTTCTGGCCTTTTATAATACAGTTAATGTAGAGCTGTCAAAACGGGCCACCCGACCCGACCCGATCCGGCCCAGTTTACCACGGGTTGGTCACTTAGTGAGCCAACCCAACCCGGTTCATTTATTGCAAACTGGGTATGCTCACTGGTACACTTAATTACAATGTTTTTAAAATAAAAAATATTGCAAACTTTCTAATATTCAAATCTAAACAAATTTCACTCCCAAATTTCACTCTCCCAACATGGGTTTTTAATTAATTTTGAAAATAAGGAACTTAAATAATTTTTTCAAACAAAAAAAATAATAATAAATATTTTTTATAAAATTAAAATTAAATTTTAATAAAATAAAATTAGGTAGGTGGGCCAATCCGGCCCACCACGGGTTCAATCCGCATGAGCCGGGTTTAAATAAATCTGATTGAAATCTGATCCGCATAAAAAAGTACAATTTTTTGAAACCCAACCCGGCTCAAATCTGTGTGAGTTGAATTGACCATTGGGTTGTAACCCATTTTGACAGCTCTAAGTGAATGTAGCCTTCAAAAAAGTTCAAAATTCTTTAAATTAGGATGGAATTAGAGTGATGAATTTAATCTCTTTTTTTCTTTATAAATATAAAAGTTTAATTTTTAAATAACCATTTTACCTCTAAAGATGTTACGAAATCATTTTCCATTCATTTCTTTATGAAAATAGTATCGTCTAGGAAGAGTTTCTTTTCACATACCCTATTAATTGTATCTTAAAATCACATTATTATTTAAAAATACGTTTCGCTATTTTTTTTTTCTAAGGTGTTTTCAAATTTTGTAATGATTGAAAAAAATAGTTATATGTAGTTAGGAATAATTTTTCACATTTATGTAAAGCATAACTTATCCACTACGTTGTAGTGTAGGGACATAAAAATTGTAAGAAACTTTAATGAAATTAACAAAACGATTGCCGGAAAGAGAACATAGATGCTCAGATAATTTTTATTAACATTTTAATAAATATAGAAATATATATTCCATTTTTACTTGTTTAAGAATAAAATCAGAGAATTAGCTCCTTAAAAAATTATACTTATCACTTTTTTCAGGTAAAATTATGGTTAGGTTTGTAAAGTTCAACGACTTCTATCTTTTAATCTGATAGTTAAGAAGTATTCTTTCTAATCCTTAAATATATTTAATATGCTTTTAGTTTCTAAAATTTTAGACACTGAATATTAAAGAAAATTAAACAAAGTACGTAAAAAAAACTATAAGAGGTTAAAATTATCTTTGTAGAGATTAAAGGGGGGAAATTTATATAAGGGCTAAAATAAAGTAAAATATATAGAATTAAGATGAGTAATTAATTTCTTTAATCAGTTCCCTTTTCTTTCTTGCTTTTGTTTTTTTCTATATTTTTATTCCACTTACTTGGAATACCATGTGGGAAGAAAGGTACTTTCTTTATTATTTTATGGTGGAGTTGTTGAAAATGTTTGATCACGCTTTAAGGAAAATAATTTCATAAATTAATTTAATCCCAATAAAGTAAGTGTGCAGCTGTATTTTCCTATAAAAAATATATACTTTTACAATATTCTATTGATCGGTATTATTATAATATCACGTGGAATTCGTGCATTTTCATTTTGCTGCTAAAACGGGATTCAGGATCAAAGACCAAAAATTAACATTCGAATCTGATATGAAATTAATAAAGAGAGCTCGTCAAAGTAGACATGTTAGTTATTTCATGAATCGTTTTCACACTAAACAAAAAATCGATTTACTGACACAACATATTAGGTGATAAATATTAAAATTCATTAGTACACTAGTAAAAAATTGGGTTTTTACAGCGCACATTATGCCACGGTTCACCGGAAACCGCAGCATAATGGTGCGCGGTGGCAGTTTTGTAAATAAATCGAACTCATATGTCGCGGTTCAGCAGGGAACCGCGGCATATACACCGGTCAACAATCCCCTTTGACGCCACGTGTGAATAAAAAATTAAATCACAGAGTATATGCCGCGGTTGTCCAGAGAACCGCGGCATATACCGATGTCAATTTATTACAGGGGCTGACTGAGTCAGAGAATTTAAAAAGTTACAAGAGTATATGCCGCGGTTGCTCTGCCAAACCGCGGTATATACCGTAGTAACTTCTCAACTTCTCTGCCAGTCAGAGAATTTCAGAAGTTACAGGGGTATATGTCGCGGTTTCGCAGAGCAACCGCGGCATATACCCCTATCATCTACTGAAATTCCCCAAAAGGCAGTTGGGGAGACAGTCGTGTTCAGCACGTTACAGGGGTATATGCCGCGGTTCTACTAGCAACCGCGACATATTCTCCTTACTGAAATTAATTTAAAATGAATTTGAAATATTTTGACGTATATACCGCGGTTGCCCGCTGAACCGCGACATATAGTTTAAAAATAATTTCAAAAATGCCATTTAGGATAATTTTTTTAATCAGTATATGCCGCGGTTGGGGATGAAACCACGGCATATACCCATATTATACCGCGGTTAAGTAGGGAACCGCGGTAGATTCCCCCGTTCAGAGTTAAAAATTAAAACTTGGAACAGTGTCGTCTTCTTCCCGTAAGCTCTCTGTTTCGCGTTTTTCTTCTCCCTCCGACTCCCATCATCTCCGATACCTCATTTTTCACCATTTAAACTTAAAATTGTTCGGTCATTATTCATTTTTGACGATAAAAAACAGTTTTAGCCGATCAAAATCGTTTGAAACGCGTCA